CCTCCTCTGTCAATGTAAGTGGCCGTTCGCCGCCTCGATGGGCCATTCCGCCCATTGATCGCTCATTCCGCTCATCAATCGCCCATCTACCTCCTGGACCGACTTCTCCTGAATAGAGGGGTTGGTCGTTTTTTATTTCCCTTTTTTTTTTTTGTGCTCAGCATTTGGTCATCTTCAGCTTCTTTGTTCATAACCAGCTCCTACACCTCGATCAATCTCTGGGGGGGGTTATTTGTCCTTTTTTTTTCTTTTCTTCTTTTTTAACTTTATCATTACTTTTTCTCTCTCTCTCTCTCTCTCTCTCTCTCTCTCTCTCTCTCTCTCTCTCTCTCTCCTTTTTTCAGGTTTTCTACTCTCACTCGTGTATTCCACCCCTTTCTCTCCCCCCTCTCCACGATTTTCTCCTCTTTCTTCCTGTAGCTCCTCACGTTCCTCTCTCTCTCTCTCTCTCCCCGCGTCCTACCTCTTGATGGTTTCTCCTCCTCCTTTCTCCTGTAGCTTGCCCCTGCCTACCGTCTTCAACCGAATAGAACGCCTGGTCATTATCGCTGCATCTGGACTGGAAGTTGCCCCAAATACAGCTACGATGACCGTGGCGTTCTATTCCGGTGAAGGTCTCTCTCTCTCTCTCTCTCTCTCTCTCTCTCCGCACCTTTCGGTACTCTATGATTTTCTTCCCGCTCTTTCTGCCCTAGTTTCTCCCCGACCAATCTCTCTCTCTCTCTCTTTCTCTCTCTCTCTCACACACACACACACACACACAGACACACATACGCACGTACATACACTCTGAGACTCCTCTCTCTCTCTCTGTGTCTGTGTGCGAGATTCTGAAGTGATGCTATGAAGGCGTGTTACCGCTTTTGGTTGGGGATCATCCTGCAGACCTGTCTCTCCCCGGATGTACCTGGTCTAAATAACAGGCAAATTCAGAGTCAATTACGTAAATGCACACGATTTCCCGCTCAAGTTCGTCATGAGGGATCTCTTGCTGATGGTGAACTGGCGCGGGAAATCGTGCACATCCAGTTCGCTCTGTTTTTGGCTGTTATTGAGACCAGGTACATTCACGATATCTCTTTTGCGAGTGTCTAGCATGTGATTTCCCAGGAAGCACCGTTATCCAAATCGTACCCGCCGTCTTCTCTCACTCCCCCTCTCTCTCTCTCTATTCTCTCTCTTTCTCTCTTTTTTCCTCTCTCTTTCTCCCTCACTCCCTCCTGCTGTCTGTCTCCCCCTCTCTTTCTCTCTCTCCGTCTGTCCCCCCCCTCTCTCTTTTTCTCTCTTCATCACTTCACTCCATGAGCGGTGGATGTGAGCACGGTCCCCATTTCGTTTCTCTTTTGCTTTCTTCCCTCCCCCCCTCCGCCCCCCGGCCAATTCTTTTTTAATTTAAGGGCATACTCGCACTAGCACTTTCCTAAATGTATCTGGCTGCAATTATGGCCAGACGTGGATGCACCTGACTGCAATCACGTCCAGAGCTCAGTCCAAAAGGTCCTAGTGTGAGTAGGCCCTAAGTCTTGGTTCCGTTTCTTCACTCATTTCCCGCCATTTTGAATGTAGAGGGTCAGGGAGATATTCTTATTTTTGTAATTTTGTTTTTTATATAATTTAATAATTTATATTTGGTTTCTTGATCTTTATTTTCTTCTTTTTTTTTGATTTTTTATATAATTTAATAATTTAGATTTGGTTTCTTGATCTTTATTTTCTTCTCTTTTTTTGACTTTTTTATGCAAGCAAAAAGATATCTTCACTCATTTCCCGCCATTTTGAATGTAGA